TGGAAGAAGGGATGCAGGTACCAGGGTCTGTGATGCCACAAAGTGGGTGGGGAGCATCTGCCCTTGAGCCATATAAGTAAAGCCCGTGAAATCAGTACCAGCTAACGTCACACGCATCACCAAATTAGCCTGACCAAACACAGCAGGCTAATTTTTCAGTTGATAATTTTGCATGGCCTGCAAATGATGTTATAAATATCCAGTGGCCCTCGGCAGAAAGAGAGGTTCCGCACCCTTGCCGTTAAAGAACATACTAGGGCCCTGGCTGGTTTGGTTCAGTGGTTAGAGCGTCGGCCTGCGGTACAGAGAGACCCGGGTTCGGTTCCCGCTAAGGGCGCGTGCCTCGGTTGCAGTTTGTCCCCGGCCCTGGTCGGTCGTGCAGGTGGCAGCCACTCGATGTGTCCCTTTCACATCGATGTTTCTCTCTCTCTCCCTCTCCCTCCCACTCTACCTGAACAAAAAATGGGAAAATGTCCTCGGGTGAGGATAAAAATAAAAAAAAATAAATAAAAGAGCATACTAGGGCCAGTGAAGCCCAGTAATGCTGAGATTGTTTTGAGTTTGGATTTCACAGGAGACCGTGGAGCAAGTTGTTTTTCAGTGGGTCTGAAACGCTAGACAGGATCTGGCTGTGGAGTTGGGCCGAGCGTATGCACGTCAGAGAGACTGCTCCGGGTGGGAGGCTCGCGTGCCGGGGGCAGGGGCCTTGGCTCCGGGCACAGCTCTGCTCCGGGCGCGCTCGGGCCTGGCGGTGGGAGCTGGAGGTGGCTTCTGCCAGTCCCGAGGGCCCGGGTGCAGGCTGAGATATCCGTGACAGGTCTGCGGAAGCAGAGCCTGAGCGGAGCGTTCCCATCTAGTAACCTTTGTGTTGCGTTTTCCCCTGGTGGCTGCCTCCCCGGGGCCTCGCTCACAGCGGGCACACGGTGATCCGTCCTCGAGCGAGTGAGCAGGTGACTGAGGTACAATGGGCAGAGGCTCAGTGGAGGGGTACAGACTATTTTCATTGCGAGGCCACAGGACCAGCAGTCCTTGTTATAGGGCCACATTCATTTCTCAGCGGCCACAGTGGCAGGTTGGAGGGTCTCTGAATGCATCCAGGCCGTGGACACACCTGTCATGAGAGCCAAGTGTATTTGGAAGGTTTTATTATAGCTGTTTTCTTTTGTTCGGTGATCCATCACAATACCCCAGTTTTAGGATTTCGGTGTAGTGGAATTAAAACTGAATGGCTCAAAATTACATGATTAATTATATTTAGTTTTGATTACAATTATTGATCCAAGCCTGCTGGCATGACCCATGAAGGAAGGGGAGGAGCTGCTGGCTTCTGTCCTACCTCTTCATGGTCCGTTTTCTCCAGTTTAATCGATCTTTCTACCAGCCCCCTGCCCCCCCCCCCCCACACACACACTGATGTTTTGTATTTAATAAACCACCTTAAAGTTTTCTTAGAATGAGACAGCCTGACAAATAAAGATCACTCACTCACACATACTAGCTTTAGAGTGGGCCTTTCTCCCCGTGCAGACTCGGGGCGGATAACACACAGCCCAGCGGGATCACTAGTCCATCACGATCGCCGGCTTTTCTCAGAGCTTTCCAGCCACACTGGCGTCGCTGTCACTCCCAGGCCCCTTCCCAGAAGGAAGGAGGGAATCGTGGCGGTTTCAATAGGAAAGCAGGGTCTTGTCCCAGAAAGACGGGAGGCATTTAGACTGGAAAAGGAGGCCGGAATGCTGTCTTCAGGAAGGCTGACCAGCCCCGGTCGGTTTGGCTCAGCGGTTAGAGCGTCGGCCTGTGGTCCAGAGAGACCTGTGTTCGGTTCCCGCTAAGGGCACGGACCTCGGTTGCAGTTTGTCCCCGGCCCTGGTTGGTCGTGCGGGTGGCAGCCACTCGATGTGTCCCTTTCACGTCGATGTTTTTCTCTCTCTCTCTCCCCCTCCCTCCCTCCCTCCCTCCCTCCCTCCTACTCTATCAGAACAAAAAATGGGAAAAAAAGAAGAAGAAGAAGGCTGATCTGTGGAACTGTGGCTACACCTGTTCCATATGGTAAAAACTGGGACTAGAAATGGTTAGAAACTTCAGGGGGACTGATTTGGGGCTCAGGACTTGTCTCCAGTAAGGCTAAGAATGGAGTGGGCTGCCAGGGAGGGAGTCAGCTGTAGACGTGTGCGTGCCGTGTCAGGGGCGATTGTGGTAGAGCTTGTGACCAGAAGTCCCCTTCCAACCCACTGCTCTGTGATGCTGTGACAGATTTCTAGAATGAATGACGGGAAGCGACTGTTTAGAACTGGGAAGTGGAGTCACCTTTTGCAACAGGGGAATGTATTCTATCTGGACCTGTTGAATGTAAGAGAATGTTGGACTCCATGGTGGGGAGGCCCCCGGTCACTGTGAATGTGGGTTTGAAGCTCTCGTGAGAGGCTTGGCTGAGAACAGTCTCAGGAGTGCCCGGCATAAAATTAGTAATTTAAACCACACAAATGATCAACGAATTGGCTCTCTACGGGGAGAGTTTGTTGAGAGAAGAGGTCAGGGCCTCAAGGGACGCTCTTAGGAAGAAGCTACGCCTTTAAGAATCAGTGAAGGGAAAGGTGAGAGATTTAAACGATCTGAAGAAAAACGAGGGTGTGGAGAAAGGGGCTCTGGTGCACTGCTGGGGGGTGCAGACTGGGGCAGCCACCATGGAAATCAGTATGGTGTTTCCTCAGATAATTAAAGATGAAATTCTAGGAATATGTCCTAAGAAGCCTCAGACACCCATCAGGAAGAACCTGTGCACCCCTGTGTTCATAGCAGCCCTATGTACAATAGCTGAGACTAGAAACAGCCCGTGTCCATCAGTAGATGAGTGGATGAAAGAGCTGTGGTACGTGGACACGATGTACATATACACAATGTACTATGCAGCTGTTAGAAAGAAAGATCTCTTACCCTTTGAGACACCATGGAGGGACCTGGAGAGTATCATACTAAGCGAAATAAGCCAGTCAGAGAAAGACAAGTACCGCACGATCTCACTTATTTGTGGAGTATAATGAGCACAATAAACTGACCAACAGAGCAAATCCAGGACATGGAATTAGGAAACAGACCGACAAACCTCGGGGGGGGAGGGGAGACACCAGAGAACGTGCATGGTGACCAGTGGGCCTGGACAGCAGCGCACTGAAGGGGGAGCACAGGTGGGCAGGGAGGAGGGAGTCAGTGGGGAGAGAGGAGGGACATCTGCAACACGTTAAGAAATAAAGACAGCCCTGGCCGGTTTGGCTGAGCGGTTAGAGCATCGGCCTGCGGACCAGAATCCTGGGTTCAGTTCCCACTAAGGGCACGCACCTCGGTCGCGGTTGGTCCCCGGCCCTGGTTGGGGTCGTGTGGGTGGCAGCCACTCGGTGTGTGTCTCGCACATTAACGTGTCTCTTTCTCTCTTCCTCCCTCTCTCCCTCTCTATCTGAAGATAAATGCAAAAATGTCCTCAGGTGAGGATAAATAAATAAATAACGATAAATTAAATCTAAAAAAAGAAAAAGTTAAAAGCCAAAAAAAAAGAGAATTGCTCAAGTAAAGGGAAGCCACCCAGTGAGGACAGGGGCTGAAGGGAGGGCGGTGTGGTGGCCGGAAGAGGCGGAGTCCACGGGGCGCCTCTCAGTCCTGGTGTAATTTTTAATGTGTTCTTAGGGAACCCTGGCCAGGAGGAAGGCCCATTACAGAGGTGTTTTATTTTTATTCTTAAGGCCTTGTGCCAGGAGGGGTTTCCTCCCTTTGTTTCCCTTTATCTCCCTGGTCACCATCACAGAGGGAAATCGGAGTCAGAGACAAAGGTCTGGGAGTCAGCCACCTTTGCTGTGTCCTCAGTTCCCAGGTAGAAACAAACAAGGTGAGTGGCAGGCACCAGGCCCTCAGGTGCCCTGTCACTTAGGGGGAGGAGTCAGCTGGTCGCTGTGGTAGTCACAGGAGACTCCCTGGCTGCTTCGCTGGACATTTCTAAGGATACTGTATTCACAGACCACTTATGTAATTAATTCTTTCCTAAAGCGTGTTGTGCGGAAGGAGAGTGTCCGCTGCTGCCGGATGCTCCTCAGTGTCTGCGATGTTCCGTCCTCCGCGTGGCTCTCTGGTGGGCAGGACCCTCCCGAGCACCCGCGGGCAGGGGGTGCCTCGTCCGGAGTGTGAGGCAGATGGTGAAGGTGAAGAGGTGTCAGCCAAGGGAGTTTGCTAGAATTCTTGTGATGTGGTGGTTGGAATTGTTACCAGACGTTCGTTGCAAAGACCATCAGTTTTCATGGAATGAAACTCATACTTGTGCCACTTAAGTATTGACAGGTGTTTTGTTTTTTTAATATGATCAAGCATATAAATATGTGTAGCTTTAATTTTTAGTGTAAAAATGTCATGCCAGTTGCTTTTCACAATGTCTCGTAATTATTGAGTTCTCTTGATATTTACAAAACCCAGGCACACTCGTCTCATTGGATTCACACCCAAAGGGCTCGTGGGTGAGGTGCATTGAAAACCTGAGTCTTCTGTGTGAGATGATTGGCTTTGGGTAGTGCACTTTGGGGTGATTTCACTGTTTGTTTGTAATTTTTCTATAATTGTCATGCTTTACTTTTTTTTGTTTTTTGTGTTTCTTTGTTTTGTTGTTGTTGTTGTTGTTGTTGTTCAGATAGAGGGGGACAGAGAGAGAGAGAAACATCGACGTGAAAGGGACACATCGAGTGGCTGCCACCCGCACGACCCAACCAGGGCCAGGGACAAACCGCAACTGAGGTACATGCCCTTAGCGGGAACCGAACCCGGGTCTCTCTGGACCGTAGGCCGACGCTCTAACCGCTGAGCCAAACCGGCCAGGGCTACTTTTTAAATAAACACTTAAAAATGTCCATACTTTTGTAAACCAGCATTATTGGGAACAGACTTACCCACACTAGCAGACTGCTCCGGGGCCTGTCGGGAAGCGTGAGTGTGCGGCTTGATGAACTTAGGACCTTGCGTTGCAGGTCGGGTCTACGCGGTCCTGTCGAAGAGAGAAGGGCGTGTGCTGCAAGAAGAGATGAAGGAGGGCACAGACATGTTCATCATCAAGGCCGTGCTGCCCGTGGCCGAAAGCTTCGGCTTCGCTGACGAGATCAGGAAGAGGACCAGTGGCCTGGCCAGCCCGCAGCTGGTGTTCAGCCACTGGGAGGTAAGGACCTCAGTCCCCCGTTTCTCCCTCCTCTGCGGCCCGGCTTCCTACCGGTGACGCCAAGAGCAGCAAGTACAGCTCCCCGGGCCATGTGGCCTTGGGTGGCGCTGCTCTGTCAGAGGGACAGGAGGAGCAGACGGTCTCCATCCATCCAGACTGAGAGCCTCAGGCTACAGGGGGCCCCTCACACGCACACTCGCCCCGACACACCTGCCTGTTCCTTCTTTTTATTGATGCAAAATTTCAAACAGAACATTTCATTCCCTCCCCCCCGATGTATTGTAGATTTTTAAAAGAAAGTCCCAGACATTTTTGAAAGTAAAACTTGAAGGAACTTTTTTCCTGAGGAAAGCTACTTCTAGCATTTAGAAGGGAACCTTATCTGTAGTCAAAAGTGAAAACTTCGCAGACCCACGTTGCTGGGGGGAGAGGGAAGGTTGGGAAACACGTGGTTTTTAACGTGGGGGAAATCACATCGAGGGACAGGCCGGCCAGCCTTCCTGAGCAGACCCTAAGGAGAGGCAGAAGCTGACAGCTGGGGAGGAGGGCAGTGCGCGGGGTGCACGTGAGAGCCGGTGGTGAAGGGACAGGGCATCCGCAGAAACAACTGGTAATGCTTCAAGGCAAGGCTGAGGTCAGGAGTAGAATTTCTAAACTGCAGGATGTGATTAGAAAGGTGTGGAGAGAGCAGTCCTGCTGTCACCGTGTGCAGGTGACGTAGCTTCACGCTCTGCACGCTCACCGTGGAGGACCGTGGTCAGTGGAGGGAGCACCAACCCGTGTCAGGGCTCTGGTCCAGTGCCAGCTCTGCCGCTCGTCTCGGCAGATCGCAGCCGCCCTGAGTTTGCTCCGTCCCTGAGGCGAAGTACTGGGTGTCTGACCTCCGGCCTTCGCGGTGCTGGCGTCTCGCCGGCTCAGGCTGTGCGGCGCGCGGGCTGGTCCCAGCGGGGCCTCGCACCAGCAGCGGCACTCTTTCTGTCTTTCTTTCTGTCTGTCTGTCTTTCTTTTTTTTAGTCCTCACCCGAGGACTTTTTTTTTTTTTTTCATTTTTTGATACTTTGTTCAGATAGAGTGAGAGGGAGAGTGAGAGAGAGAAACATCGATGTAAAAGGGACACATCGAGTGGCTGCCACTCGCACGACCCAACCAGGGCCGGGGACAAACTGCAACCGAGGTCCGTGCCCTTAGTGGGAACCGAACCCGGGTCTCTCTGGACCGCAGGCCGACGCTCCAACCGCTGAGTCAAACCGGCCAGGGCCCGGCACTCTTTCTAAATGTCACTGGAGCAGAGCTCGTGGCTTGGCTCCCATGCGGAGCTGTTCTGATTTCTCTCCCTCTCTTCTGCCAGATCGGTCCCTGTCTCTAGAACACTTTAAATGAGCTGTTTAAATTTAGATAATAACGTGGAGTGGGAATAATTAAGAGAGAACTTTCTTTTTAAAGTGAATTTTGCAGTCAAGTGAATCTGCAAAGTAAAGAATGGCGACACTAGCCCTGGCCGGTTGGGCTCAGCAGATCAGAGAGGCCCGGGTTCGGCTCCCGCTAAGGGCATGTACCTCAGTTGCGGTTTGTCCTCAGCCACGGTTGAGGTTGTGTGGGTGGCGGCCACTCCATGTGTCTCTCATGTCAATGTTTCTCTCTCTTCCCTCCTCTCTCTCTTCTGCTCTATCTGAAGATAAATGCAAAAATGTCCTCGGGTGAGGATAAAAAAAAAAGAATGATGACACCAGAAAAATTGACTTTGGACCAAGGAAGTTTAATCTTAATTGTGTCTGCTTCTCCTTTAAAAAAGTCACATTCTTCATCCTTGATAGAACTAACATTAATGCTGTTCTGATTTCATTTACATAATTTTTTTGTCAGTACAAATTACATTTTAACAGTGATTTACTTTGAAATTTTTCTTGCATTTTCTATCTTTGTCTAGAAATGAAATGGTGTTTTTGATGGTTTTTTTGGCTTATATCTGAATACCTATCATTGCTGTATTTTGTTATGTGGAAAACATCTCCAAAATATTTAAGTTATTTGCTAATCCCCAAGCTTATGGGTAGTAATTTTCCAGTTATTCCAACCTCTAGCTCTTTGGTTTTGGTTTTTGGCACTCAACTTGTGTGTAAGAACTCACACCAGTAAGATATACAGGAATGGTAACGTCATCGTTATCGGGAGGAGTGTATATCGGAATTCATGTGTTTGTTTGTGTGTTTAAAATACCTCATCATGTTACAGTCGGTCTTGTCCTTGAAGGTGATTTTATAAAGCAGAGTGGCCCAGATAAGGCAGGAGATTCTCTGAGTCTGGGCAGCAGAGTCCAGGCGCTCTGTCTCGCTGCCTTTCTCAGCCCTCGGCTCCCACTGATGGCCAGAGCGGCCGTCTCGCCTCCCGCCGTCACCTCTGCGTCCTGGCCGGCAGGGACCGGAAGTGGGGAGGCGGGCACACACCTTCCCCGTAAGCACGCAGACTGGGTGCTACGCCAGTCGCCAGTCCTGCAGCACAGCTGACACGGCCCCGACGAGGAGGCCGGGGGGTGCAGCCCTCACCTGGGTCAGGTGCCCTGCCACCTGCTTGGTAAATGGATGTCCTGGAGTATAGTCATGTCCGTCATGGACACGCTTCTGCGCTGCATTCAGCAGAGCTGAGCCGCTGTGACAAGGCCGTCTCCGTGCCTGCGATCTAAAACGTGCGCCGTCTGGATCTTTGTGGAAAACTGTCCACCCTCCACTCTCCAGGCCACTCCCAAACCGAGGGGCCTTGTGTGTCCACCAGGATGACCTCTTACCAAAGGGAAAGGACAGAATGGATATTTAGGATCAAATAGTGTAAAAACAGCAAGCTTTACCAAGTAGGCAGTCTTTGTTCATTTGAAAACCATGATGATTTTTCACTCTCTCTCTCAAAATGAAATAAAATAAAGGTGAAAACTAATCTTACATACTTAGTTTTTAAAATATAGTTTCTGGCTCAGTTATAGCTTGTTATTAAAAATTAGTCTCTTAATAAATACCTGTGGGGAAGGCGCAGTCGCTTGCCCAGCTCTGCGCCGCCTCCTCGTCCCCTCGCCGCCCCGTGGCCTTCCCACAGCGCCACAGCTCGCAAAGTCTGCGAAACGACATTGTAATGAAATGTCAGCGATCCGGTATTTTCTGGCTGTCTCGGGTCTTCCCCCATCGTTAGGTTTAGAAATAACACAGTTGTTGAGAGCTGGCTTCTCACTCCGAGGACCTTTTCCATTGGTGCTCCACCACACCATGTAATTTACAATCAAGAGCTTTTGACAGAAAGTGCTTCAAAAAAATAGAGAAAATAAAATTGCAGGCATTTTCCACGAGGAAACCTTTGAAGTCAGCAATCTCATGATTTCTCTTTCTATGTTTGACCTTCTGTGAAAAAGGGAGAAAAGGAGCTAATAACAAGCGCAGAAGGAAAACTGTGCCAACCCCTGCCGTTCTACACGTATGTCAGCACAACCTCAAGATCAGCTGTTCAGCTCGGAGGTTACTCAGGGTGGGCTGAAGTCCACGCAGGGGAGGAAGAAGTGACACAGAGCATTGAAGAAGTTTGTTTCCGCCGCGGTGGTTCCCACCTGCTGGCTGTAATCATGGTGAAAGTTGGGCAAAAAGTGAAATAGAGCCCCCAAAGCATTGTCCTTCTAGGCTTCTTTTAAAATGCCCAGGCTAACAGCGAGCTAGCACTCGGGCGCCTTCCTCCCTGGGAACTGGCATCGGATCCGACTGCGCTCTCACTGTCGGCAGACGGATTCTGGGCGAGCCCGTCAGCCAAGGGCACCTTTCCTCCAGACCGTTAGCAGGCTCTGCTCTGCTCTGCTCTGCTCTGCAGCCTCGAGGGGCCTGTCCGTTGTAGCACAACCTGGATGACCTTCGGGGTCACCTTTTGGTGCGTCAGTAAGGAAATGCCACACGCGCTTGATGGGGCCAGGGGTTCCTCCGTCTTCTGTCCTGAGCGTCCAGTTGGCATGTGGAGGCCCAGGGCTTCAGGACGTCCGCAGAGACGCAGGGCCGTGCGGTGAAGACAGCATCTGGGCAGACGGCACGAGGGGGGGCTCCAGCCGGTCTCAGAGGAGCCCCTGGCAGCTGGAGCTGAGTGCAGAACGCGTCCTGCAGTCCTGGGAAAAGACCGAGCACATGTCAGGAGTATATGCCAGAGGCCCAGACAAAATTGGATTCTTTTGAAACTCCTGGGTCTTATATTTTTGAAACAGGGACTCTGGTCTTAAATTGGACAGTCTGAGTCTGGTGTCTCTCAACCAACACCTCATTTATTTCTCCTTATAAAATTTGTCACTTTTTTTTTTTTTTGTCACTTAACAGGACTAAATTATTCACCACTGCCACTCAGACCTGCAGAGAAAGTGCAGCTTCTTTATACTCTGTGGTGGGCTCACTGTCCCGCTGGTTTGGGGAGGGCGCCAGGATCCACCTTAAAACCAGTGTCTTGGCGCGTAGCTGGTCTTTGCGTGTGACTGCCCGCGTAATGGCCATTCCATTTCTTCCCCGCCCCGCCGAGCAGGAGGCTTCCGTGACTGTGCGGTGGGGGTAGGCCTCAGCCGCACCCCACGCCCCGCGGGACCTCCCTGCTCTTGGCCGTGAGTGACTCGTCCGGTCCGGTCCCGTGTGGCACTCGAGCAGCACCTACCTGTCTCAGGAATCTCGTGGCAAGCACTTGTCTCCAGCCACAAAATCCCTACCCCCAGCTGCCTTTGTCCTGCCGCAGGCTCGGCCAGCCCCTCAGCACCTCCACATCCTTTCCGCGGGGTGTGGGAGCATGGGGCCAGCAGAGCCGCCCATTGCTCTGGAGCCTTGTCCGGTTTCTCCGAGGGTCACAGGCTCTGCCTGCACAGGTGTCAGGTGTTCAGGAGGAAGGGGAGAAAATAGCCATTTGTAATAATAAGCTGAGCCTTCCGTGACCAAGGCAGGTATGTAGCCGCTCATTTCACATATGTTCACCCAGCATACACTAGGGGTGCCTGCCCTCAAAGAAGACAGGCGTCCGTCTCTTCCTGTGCAGAGCGAAGGCCCCGGCGCAGGGAGAACAGGGCGCAGGGCCCGGCAGAGGGTCCAGAGCAAGGCCTCGCTCTGCACGTGAGTCTGCACCACCTACCGGCGGGCCCCGGCGGGCAGGCCGACCGCTGGGCCTGCAGGTGGTGAGGGCTGTGTGAGCGCTCCCGGGACAGCCCTGTGTCCCTCTGGCCGTCGGCGAGTGGCCAGGACAGAGCAGAGGAGTGACAGGCTTGGGCAGGGCGGGGGGGGTTGCTGCTGCGTCTGCCTCTGGGGTAAAGCTCAGAGTCGTCAAGAATGGGTTTGACGTGTGCTGGTCTTTGCTGGGGACAAAGGCAAATTTAATGAAGACTGAAACGCAAATATATTCTATTGAAAGAGAGGGAGAGTTTTTATATTATTCAAAATCAATAGTTTTTTTCTTCCTGAGTGGTACGTAAAGGCTGTACAAGGAAAAATCACACACGTTGCAAGTTCTGTTGGGTCCACTTCCATTAGTTCATCCCCCGTTTTCATGGTTACTGTTCCTCCAAGCGACTCTCGTTGTTCACTTTTATTCTTCAGCAAAGACTGTGTGAATTGGCATTTGGAGTGAAAGTGTAGCGGCCTAATCTAGCACGTTCTGTCACCTTCTTTTCCAAGGTCATCCCCAGCGACCCCTTCTGGGTGCCCACCACGGAGGAGGAGTACTTGCACTTCGGGGAGAAGGCCGACTCTGAGAACCAGGCCCGGAAGTACAGGGACGCGGTGCGGAAGCGCAAGGGCCTCCACGTGGCAGAGAAGATTGTGGAGCACGCCGAAAAGCAGAGAACCCTCAGCAAGAACAAGTAGCTGCTGTTGGTGGGTTCTCTGTTTCTGATCAGTAAGACGGCCCCTGCCCCCCGGGGCTGACCCTGGAACACTTGTTTCTGCTGCAGCATCTCTGTGCGTCCATGTCAGTAAAATCGACCCACACAAGTGCTCGAGAGGGGACATTCGAGAGCACGTGTCCCAAGTGGTTTTTAATTGATTCTGGTGTGAGGCAAGACGTGACCGTGATTGTCACGGTGGAGACGTCACCACCTCTGTGTGACCCGTGACCGTGAGCGTGCGGGCAGCATCTCTACGCTGAGCAGCCGCGCCCCTGCCTGTCATCAGGTCACACTTCCCTTAGTCGTAAACAGCCCATCGTTCCCCGTCCAGTCCCTGCGCTCAGCGTCGTCCGGAGAGACCGCGTGCTCGAGAGACCAGCCACCTTGAATTAGCTCAGCCGAGTCACTGTCACAGCCGACCCAGCTCAGAGTTCACTTGTCTAGAGAGCAATGCGGTGTTCATTGGGCAGCCTCCAAACCTGATTTCATGTTCCCTCCTAGATCCATCGCTCATATCTCAGTAAGTGTTCATGACAGTTACACTCGATACCTTTTTCTTTAAAAAAAGTAAATTTTTATAATGTTCTTGGCTATTTCTTCTTAGCCCTCCTAAAAGGATATTAGCTAATGTGACAAGATCATTGCCCTTATTGTAGCTCTTATTCCAAAATCTCAGTTGCCTCGTTCAGGGAGATCCACATATAAGGGAATAAGTGCACGTCAGTCAAAAATAGATTTTGTAATTTTTGACATTTAATAATTTTTACAGGCACTTATAACAAAAAGGATTCTTTTTCAAAACTCATAAAATGATCAAACCAGACCTTGTTTTTGGAATGTTTTTAATGTGTGTTTTGTTTTTTCCCCCAATAAACTAGGTTATTCTTAATGCTAGCTGTAGGCATCTTAACTTTACTCTTGAGAGCTCTGCATAGCTGGTCAGATCTACTTAACCCAGACTGTGGGGACAGTGTAGCGGATAACTCACGGTCTCGAGTTTACCGGTACTGATGTCTGGATCAGTCTAGGGAAGCTCTCCCACGCACTGGTCATCGGAGAACTCGGGTCACGTAGGAAGCGCCAACACTTCGATTTATAGCATTTGTAAGGAACGTCGTTCAGAGTGCCAGATGTGCTATTAAAGGTGTGGGGGGGCATCTGTAACAAAAATTAATTAATAAAAATTGACCCCCCCAAAAAATGTTTTTAGACTCTACACTCTGTCAGCAAGCGCTGCACTTGGTGGAGGAGAGCAGGGCCCGGAGGAGGGCCCCCTGCAGTCTGCTGGGCAGGTGTGCTGGCGGGGCGATGGCACGTCCCGTTGACGGAGTGCCTCTCCCCTCTCCGAGTGTAGGAGACCGTAGTGACGATGCAGTGCCCGTGGAGAGGCAGGCCAGGGGATGCAGCTGATCTGCATGTGAGTGGTCTGCCCGCTGGTCATTCGTAAGGGGACCCCAGTCACTGACACTGTCCTCACTCCCTGCCCCAGGGCCACGCCCTGACCCTCACCCCCTGTGCTGAACTCGGTGGAAGTGAGCCAAGTTCTCGTTCCCAGCACGGGTGGGAGGGTCCTTCTCCTACAGCAGGGGTGGCTTCTTGCAGCTGCAGAGGGGCCTCGGACAGTGGGGTGGCTGGGTTGAGGACGCCACAAGACCACACCCCTCGCCCTGGAGGGTTCTCTGCATGGAAGTTCAGGAGCAACTGCCCTGCTCACGGACAGGCAGCGGCATCATCAGCACACTGCCCTTTCCCAGCCAGCCTCGGCCCAGGGGGGCAGGGAGGCCGGGAAGGGCCTGTCGCCTGGGTCAGAATTTCCGTGGACCTGAGTGGAAATACCCATTTCCTGTTCTGACCCTGTTCTGACCCTGGCGTATTGAGACAGACATGTAGGTAGGTGGATGGATAGGTAGAATGTATGTGTGTACAGGGAGGAGTATTGATCCTCGAGCATGAAGTAGGGAGAAGGAAACCTGGGGCCTGGTAAAGTGGAGCTCACAGCGGGGTCCTGCCTCCCATCCGGCCACACTCCTGGCGGCCCTGCCCCGGCTGCACACGAGCAGGTCGCAGGCGAGGTTGCCGGATCCGTGTCAGGGTCGGAGGCGGCATCGCAGCCGAAGCGCAGGCACCCCCGCTGTCCAAGGCCGAAGCAGGATCCCTCCGCTGCTCGCCCGGGCCTGGGGGGCTGGGGTTGGGTTCAGGATCACGTCGTTAGCCTGGGGGCTTCTACATCTTGGCCCGTCCTTTGGACCTGGCTGAGATTTTGTCTGGGTCGGGTTCGTGGCCAAAGGTTTAACAGCTCTGTGCTGTCCCGGATTTCTCCGAAGGAAACGGCCTTGAATGCCCACTTGAAAGGTCTCTTTACCACAGCCCCTCCACCCGACAGCCATCCCCGCACAGACCCGGCACCTTCTCTGCCAGAGCCCGGCTCCGGCCCAGCCAGCCCCTGACGGCCGACTCCTCGGCGGTGCCTGTTCCTCCCCCTTTCCAGGAGCAGGGGCACGTGGGGATGCATCATGGAGGAGCGCGTGTGGCGCTTCCCGGGCGCCCGCCTGCCTGGGGGCGGCTCAGCGGAAGGAGCTTGAGTAGCAGGGCTCGGGCTCTGCCGCCGGTCTCAGCCGCAGCCAGGGGCAGGGAAGCCCGGAGCCGTCTAGGAAGGTGAGCACTCCAGGGCTGCGGGGGAGCCTGCGCGGAGGCGGAGCTGACCCCCGATCAGTCCCTTGGAAACCTCTGGCTCGAGGCCTGGTCGAGCTGCGGGGTCCCCCTGCAGGGCTCCTGGGGCTGTGAGGAAGGGAAGCCATAGGCGCGGGGGACAGGAACAGGCACCGCCCTGGACCAGACCCTGCAGGCGCAGCCGGGGTGTGCCAGGCCCTGGCAAGGGACCTGGGAGGGAGGGAGGGACATTTGGTCAACCCGGCTCCTGCTCTGAGGCTTACCTGTTGCACCCCCAGCTTCGGGCTGTCACTTATATTGATAGTAGTTCTGAGGTTGCCCCCGAACAATTTCTCGTACGGAAGGCCCGAAAATGGCACCCTGAAAACCACCTCCTCTCTCAGTCCTAAGGTCTGAGCAGGCCGACCTCACCGTGCCTGTGTGGCGCAGACCGGGACAAGCGTGTGCTTCGCTGGGTGGACGCAGCGCAGCGGAGGCCTAGGAGGTCCCGGTGCTGCCTAGGAGCCTGGAGTGTACCCATGAAGCTCAGGGTGTGGGCACAGCCCTCATTCCTAGGCCGCCGGGATGCACGCCCGCAGCCACAGCGACTTCCCTCGACACTGACCTAAAATTACACGTTTCACTGCTGGCCCTTTGTATTAGCGGCGCCGTGACTTACCCGGGAACACGCACACTATTTCTCTTCCCTGTGACTTGAAGTAAAATTCGGCCTCATTTGAATGGTGCCAACTTCCTTCCACCTTGGACGGTAGATACAGAAGTTCCTACGTGTGTTCAAATGCGAACACGTTTGTTTTAGTGTTTGGCACTAAAAGTTCAAGGAGGAGACGAAGCCAAACGTTTATGTAACTTGAAAAAGAGCACCTATGTGGTGTCCACTCTGGACAGCGCCGGCGGGCTGGGGAGCAAGGGATCTGTCTTTCAAACCCAGCAGGGGCAAGAAAGGGAAGAGCCACGGAGAGACCGAGGGGCTTGTGAATGTGCCTTCAGGACAGAGGAGTGGGCTGGACTGCAGAGTCCTTTCAACATCAAACTCCAATGTTTGCTTGTTTTATTGTTTGCCCTAATTTAAAAAAAAAAAAAGGAAATGACCTCATGAGATGTCTAGTTATGAATGTTTACTCCCTTTCTTTTATCTGTTTTTTTTTTTTTTTTTTTTGAGCGTCTAGAAAAACCAGAGCTGGGAGATATTTCCGTCATGCGTTTCACATGAGATTCTTGAGAATATACACTTTTCATTTTATGTGCTCCCCTTTCCAAAGACATTGTCTTGTATTCAAACAACTTCCCTTTCGAGAATGTCAATTAGAGGGGAATTCGTTTGGCCGTTTTCAGAGGCTCTGACGCGTGCTTAAGTCATTACCACCACGCCCTGTATCTATCTTCCTTCCTTCCTTCCTTCCTTCCTTCCTTCCTTCCTTCCTTCCTTCCTTCCTTCCTTCCTTCCTTCCTTTTTTGTTCAGGTAGAGTGGGAGGGAGAGAGAGAAACATCGACGTGAAAGGGACACATCGAGTGTCTGCCACCCGCACGACCAACCAGGGCCGGGGACAAACTGCAACCGAGGTACGTGCCCTTAGCGGGAACCGAACCCGGGTCTCTCCGGACCACAGGCCGACGCTCTAACCGCTGAGTCAAACCGGCCAGGGCCGCCCTGTATCTTTCAAAGCAGAGAGGATTTCGCGTTTGGGATGGAGCTGGGCACAGAAGCGGTGCTTACTGGTCGATGTTTTCTGAAGAAGCAGAAGTATCCTCGAGTCTGAGACTTTCCCTGGCCTGCTCTCTGTGAGACCTGACTTCCTTCCCCAGAAAAGGTTAATGTTTCATAAGTAGTGTGCAGGGATCCTTACTGACGTCCCCTGAGCTCACCCAGCCCGAAGGGACCACTCTGCGCATGGCCCTGCTCATGCAGGGCCTGCAGGGCGTCAGAGCCCCGCCCTCGGAGCCCTGCCCTGCCTGGGGACCACGCTCCCTTCTACAGCTGTCCCAGCTTCACTGCCTGCACCCCGGTCCCGCCAGCTGTGGCCACTGTCCACTGAGCCATTCCTGCCAAGGCTGTGGGGTGGACTCTTGTTTCTTGTCTTCCTCTTTGCGGTGTGATGTTGGAAAGGTCTCAAAGCAGTGGTTCTTGTGTCCTGGGGTTTTATGGGGTTTTGAGTGAATCAGCTCCTTGGCGCCCTCCTCTCATAAGACCAGATAAATGTCCCCAGGCCTGGCCTGGGATGGGTTCCAATGGCCGTCATTAACGTGAATCAAGTTGTTGCTCCTGTTCTCAACCAGTCGTCGGCTTCCTTCTTCCTCCTGCAGTACGTTTCTCTCCCAGGGAGGTCCTCAGAGTCCCCCGCGATCTCCGCGTCACACCCGCTGCCCCTAGCACACCCTCACTGCCGGTAGGTTTTATTACGTCCGGTGGAGGCTGCGTTTGCATCGAGCCCGTTGACAGCTGGTCACAATGTCAGCCAGAGGGGAACTGCACATGCTCTGTATTGTTGACTCTGACACAGACAAGTGGCTTCGAGAGGTGGCCCCGCCCCTTCTGGGGGTCGGTGTTAGAAGGCCCATCGGTCACACGCTGAACCTCCATGGCTCTCTAGAATCCCTCCAGAAGCATTCACGCGCGTGCACAGGGAACACCTGAGCAAGGCCTGTGCAGCAGCCGCGGGGAACCCCGTTTCCGTCAGGTGTGACGTGCTTGATTGCACTGGGGTGTAGTTAATAGTTGTCAAAGAGTTTGAGATCTTTTTTTTTTAAATCCAAGTATATTTTTCCATTTATCTTCACACACAGTGGGAGAGAGAGAGAGAAACATCGATGTGAGAGACACACCGACTGCCTCCCGCACGACCCCAACCAGGGCCGGGGACCAAACTGCAACCGAGGTGCATGCCCTTGACCGGAATCGAACCTGCGACTCTGGTCCGAGGGTCGATGCTCTAACCACTAAGCCAAACCGGCCAGGGCTGAATGAGATCTTTACTTAATGACACAGAAGTCCAAGGTACATTGGAATATTTTTTAAAAAAACAATCTACAAAACTATATATTTTTTGAGCCCCTGCCACGTGCCAGACTCCATTGCCAAGCGCTTTATAAGGATGATCTCCCTTGGCATCCCATGACTCCCGAGAGCCCTTTCCAGTGCCCGAGAAACCCGGGGCGCGGCTTGCTCAAGGAACGTGCTCCACATCACACAGGCGTCGGCTTGCAGGAACTGCAGTGTTCATCAGCGACCTGGACCGTCTCATCGGTTGTGTTTTTCTACCGAGGAAGGTCCTTGTGAGCATCTCAGTCCCTGATGGGATCTGCGCTCCTAGTGTCCAGACCACAGGTGACGGGACATGGCAGGTGGCGTGAGTGCTGGGCCCTGGAGTGGGCAGGGAGGCCTCGGACCTGGCCCCGCTGCGGGGGTGACCCCAGAGCCGCCACCGTTTCCCAGGTAGGCAAACACCCACAGCCGTTCCAGCTGTGGCCAGAGAAGCC